ATCTACTTGGAATGGTGATGCTTAGAAAAACCCAAGGCTGAGAGGGTCAGAGCGATCTCCTCTCTCTCCTTCCCCACCCTCTTGCTAAGGCTAAATGAAAAGACTCATTGTCCCATGGAGAGGAGAAAAATTGTGAAAACAAAAGTCCAAGTTGTTGTATTTTTTAAGAAATATTCTTTCTGTGCCCCTAAATGCTTCATGGAATCTGTTCAGATTGAATTAACTTCTGTTTCCCAGCACAACAATCCCCCTATGCACATACATGAAAGGAACTGTTTCTCAAGCATCAGTCCACTTCCCAGCTAGAACTGGCTCCTGCTCTTCAAATGCAAGCAGCTCTAAGTGCGCAGCGAGAAACATTATTAATATGGGTTCCATGCACTGACCTTTTTTTCTTGTTTCACTGCCACTGCATTTTTTAAAAAAAAAATCTATCTTGCCTGTATTAACATTGTCATACTGGTTTTATGTTGGCCTGTATACAATATTCTTTCCCCATTCCTTTGGTTTCTTTCAAATAGCTTTTTTGAAGTATAGCTTACATACAATAAAATTCATTATTTTTAGGGGACAATTTGATGAGTTCTGACAAATGCATAGAGTCATGTGACCTCCACCATACTTGTGATATAAACACTTTCATCATCCACCCACCCACCCAGATTTCCCTTGTGTCCCTTTGTAGCTGATCTTTACCCAGCCCCAGGCCCTGGAACCACTGATCTGCTTTTTGTCATATACTGTTTCTCTTTACTGAATGTCACATAAATAGAATCATATAGTATATGGTCTTTTTGTATCTGGCTGCTTTCACTCAACATAATTATTTTAAGATTCAACCTTTAATTGCTAAGTAGTATTCCATTGTGTGGATGCACTACAGTTTATTTTCCATTCATCAGTGTGTGGACATTTGAGTTGTGTCCTGTTTTTAGCTTTTATAAATAAAGCTTCTATGAGCATCTGAGTATGAGTCTTTGTGTGAATATGTTTTCCTATCTTTGGGGTAAATTCTGAGGATTGGGGTTGCTGGTGGCAAGATGAAATCTCTCAATCTCTCTAGGACTGATGCAGAACTTTCAGTGCTCAAACATGGACAGTTCTGGGAAACCAGGACAGCTGGTCACCTGTGCTGCATCATTTAGCAAACGTATATTGAACTTCATGAGAAACTGGCGATTTGTTTTCCAGAGTGGCTGCACCATTTTGTATTCTTACCAGCAATGTATTAGGGTTTTCATTTCTCCACATCTTCCCAATATTTGGTTATATCTGTCTTTTTAATTTTAGTTTTTCTAATGGATTTGTCATGGAATCTCACTGTGGTTTTAATTTACATTTTTCTAATGACTAAGAATGTTGAACATGTCTTCATATGACTATTTGTCATCCAAATATCTTCTTTGCTGATGTGACTGTTCAGATATTTCACATATTTTCAGATGGGCTATTTGCCTTCTTCTTATTGAGTTTTTAAGAGTTTATATAGTCAGATATAAATAACAGATTAGATAGGTTGTACAAATCTTTTCTACCAGCTTGTGACTTGCCATGCCATTGCATTTTGAAGAAAGAGTTTTCAATATTTTCCGATACTAACATGTATTTTTAAGTTATATATTTGCATGTCATTATTCTATTATACTGGTCAATTTGATGTGCGTTAAATGGGTTAATATGACAAAATGAACAATGTGTACTTTACATTACTTGGTTTGATCGCATATTGATAAGAATACAGCAAGTAGCTTACTGAGCCCTTACTATGTACCATTCAGTGTTCTCTGTGCTTTATATATATGGACTCATTTAATCCGTACAAAACCAGGCCTATTTCTTATTCCCACTTTAAAGATGAGGAGACTGAGGCACTGAGAGGATAGGAGTAACCTGCTCAGTGTTAAGACACCTAGAAATGCTTGGTTCTGTGTTTTCTTTTTCTTTAAGTAAGCTCTATGCACAACATGGGACTTGAACTCACCACCTTGAGATCAGGAGTCTCATGCTCTACTGACCAAGCCAGCCATGTGCCCCATGTTCTGTTTATTTTTCACGCCCTACCCTTCATCTATCCTCAGTGCCTTTTGGTTAGTGATGGTGACCTGAAAACACAAGCAGTTCTTGAAATCAGCAGTAAACTCAACCACATGAAATGGTATTGTTTATTTTGAAAATGGTAATCACCCATCACGTCATGTCTCAAATGTTTGGATATAAATGCAAATATGTCAGGTCGGCAGTAGGCCTAGAGCACATGTTGTATAGTTTTGAAATAAAGGGGGACTTGGTATTTTTTCAGTTTGGACAAAAAAGGGGAAAGCAGTAAAATAATAAATCACATATAAATGACATAACACACTTACAATGTCATATAAAATGTGATACATACCCAGGAAGCTTGAAAGCAAATAGTAGATTTAAAACCAGGGAGAGAGGCAAAATCTTCTAAGTGTTCTTCCTTTTCTCAGAAGGAATCTCGGTTACAGCTATAAAAAGGGGCCAATCTAATTAGTGAAGAGTTTAATTCATTTAAAAAGTTGGGGGCAGTAGTTATCAGTAATGAGCCAGCCTGCTTTGGAGCTTCACCTCTTTTATCAGCTGCACGACCTGAGGTAAATTATCTACCTTCTCTGAGTTACTGTTCAAATTAAATGACTTAATACATTTAAAGCATTTGGCCCAGTGCCTGGCACACAGTACGTGCTGAATAAATATTTGCTAGTTTTAATATAATTTTAATGCACAGGGGAAAGTGAGTTAGTTCTATACAGCAAGTGTGAGAAACTGTGGACTTTGAAGGTTGACAGCCTGGTTTATCTCCAGGTCAATTCCTGAGAGCAATTTGCTGAAAGAATAATTCACTAATTACTGAGTTTGTCTTTTTTTTTTTTTTTTTTAAGTTTTAGGAGATAATCCTTGCCCTGGCCCCATCCTGTTCCTGCCTCTGACAGCTATACTCTTTCACAGCTATACTCTTTCACAAATTGTTTTCTAGGGATTTGGCTTGCAGCTGACTGCTGACTGGGCTTTCTGTTAGTCAATGAATTGGTAAATTGACCTGCTTTCCCTGGGTTTGAATCCCTGCTTTGCTACTTACTGTAGCTGTGTGACTTTGATCAAGTTACTGAGCTTCTCTGAGCCTCTGTGTCCTTATCTCTAAAAAGCAGAAGTAATAATTCTGATTTCTACGAGATAGATATGAAGATTAAATGAAGTCAGTTGGGTGAAATTGCCAAGCATGAAACAAGGACTTAGTAAAGATTTGACATGCAAATGATGTTACTTAAATGTTGTTCCTCTTTAAATCTTTCCCCTCCCTACCTAATTTATATAAATTAATAAATTGCAATGACACTCATTATATTCATAGAAAATGAGAGAATAAATTTAAACCTAGTCTCAGGACATTACCTTCTCCATGAAGTTTAGCCAGGCAAGACAGTCTTTTTTTTTTTTTTTTTTTTTTTTTTTTTTTTTTTTTTTAGGATTTATTTATTTACTTGAGTGAGAGAAAGAGAAAGAGAAATAGTGAGGGAGGTAATAGGAAGGGACCCACAGAGAGAGAGAGAGAATCTCAAGCCAGTTCCATGCCGGGCAAGGAGCCTGACACAGGGCTTGATCTCATGATCCTGAGATCATGACCTGAGCTGAAATCAAGTGTCAGATATTTAACCACCTGAGCCCCCCAGGTGCTCCCAAGCAAAATAATCTTGCTATCACTCACCATGTGGCCAAGTACCTTTGTCATCCCACGTGGAGCATGGAGATTGGCCATCCTGGGGAAACCTGGTTCTGACCATGTCGCTTCCCTGCTTAGAGTCCTAGTGAGCCTTTATGCCAGCCAGCCTCCAGCACCAATACAGAAAAGCGGTAAAGGCGATGCTGTTCTGGTAGACTGAGTGCTTCTCTGGTTGAAAATCCCCTTGCGGAGAAGAAATGTGTGGGAGATATCAGAAAGGGACACAGAACATAAAGACTTCTAACTCTGGGAAATGAACTAGGGGTGGTGGAAGGGGAGGAGGGCGGGGGGTGGGGGTGAATGGGTGACGGGCACGGAAGGGGACACTTGACGGGATGAGCACTGGGTGTTATTCTGTATGTTGGTAAATTGAACACCAATAAAAATTAATTTATAAAAAAAAAAAAAAAAGAAAAAAGAAAAGAAAATCCCCTTGCTCCTGCAGATCCCTGGAACTCAATTCAGAGTTAGAATCCTTATGCACCTAAGAGCTTCCTGTTCAACACCGGGTTTGATCCTATTCTTCTCTGGTCCCCTAGCTCCTTTGCTCATTTGCTTGTGCCCACTTCCCCATGTGTGCCAGGCACTATTCTGAGTGTGTATAAATTCACTCAATTAACTAATATTATCCCATAGTCCCACATGGCTCAGGAGGTAAGTAGCTTGGCCAAGGTCATACACAGTGAATGTCAGTCAGGATTCAAAGCCAGGAAGATTGGTGCCAGAGTCCAAGCACTTAACTACTGCCCCATGCTGCCTCTTAATAGATGTGTGTGGGAGGCAGGGAGGCTGGGAGGCTTGCTATGTGATGCTACCTTGTATCAGTCATACATTGATCCCTTGGGAATTTATATATAGTAATTTGTACCATACACTATTATTAGGCTGAAAGAATATGTTACTTGGAATCTTCAGATATAGTTTTTCCTTTTCCAAATCCAAGATATGATTATAATAATTGATAATAAATAATTGAGGAAAAATTTTAGGACAGATTTTTTTCCCCCTGTCAAGTTTTCCATTCAGTCTTACAGAAATGAAAGTGATGAAAAAATTTTAATATGCATACCCTGCGTAGAGTATCCAAGAACCTACCATTGGAAGTTACTTGACTTCTTAAGGATGAAACACGTAAATGGCATTTTTATGGACAAGTGGCATTTCGATACTGAAAAAGATACTCGGCACAGCAGGTCTGTAGCCCCTAGAGTTCAAATAGACCTGGAAATCTCACCCTGCTTCTTTCTCCTATTTGTCACAGCTTTACCTTCTTCCTCTTCCTGAAAATGGAAAAGATGCTGGTGGGCTGCTTTCTGTTGGTCCTCGGACAGATCCTCCTTGTCCTCCCTGCTGAGGCCAAAGAGCGGACTCCCCGGAGGTCCATCTCCAGAGGGAGACATGCTTGGACCCACCCCCAGACGGCCCTCCTGGGTGAGTGACAGGGGCTCTACCTATGCAGCAAGCAGGAGGAGGTGGTCAAGTGTGGACCTCCACACCCGGGGATGGATACATGTCATTCGGGAAGCCCTCCTATCCCTGGGTCTCCGGGTGGGTGGGTGAGGGCGGGAGGGTGGGGGGGGTGCTGGGAGGGAATGGGTCTTGTCAGCCAGGAGTGCATGCAGTTTTCTTTCTTTCTTTCTTTCTTTTTTTTGCATGCAGTTTTCAAAATGAAACTGAAACCTTTCTGTTTCAAAGCCTTCCATTTAATCTGAGGCTCATGGCTTTTCTCCAATATGCAAGGAAAAGATCTAAAAAGGGCCTGGTTGTACTTGTCTGGACAAGGGTGTTATGAGAGGTTTTTTTTTTTATTGGATTTGTCCAACTAATCTGTGTTAATAATGCTTCCCTGTTTGACAGCAGGGGGAAAAGAGCAGGAGGTTTTTAGGAGGTGGGAGCAGCTGCAGAAAAGAGGTGGGGACACTGTCAAGATATCAGGAAGAGAGAATATTGAGGTTCTGTTATGAACATGTTTTCTTCAGGTGGATTTTTCTCTTTCTCCAAGAAAAAGGAAAGATCATGAGAACACACAGATTATGGATAAATGAAGCTGGTTGTAAATGCAGGCTCTGGTAAGCCCAGGATGTGGAGGGAATAAGAACATTGGCCAGTGGAAAGAGAATGAGTTTTGGCAAGACCTGGGTTCAAGTCCTGGCTCTGACGGCTTACCAGATGTGTATACTTAGGCAGTGTTGTCCCTCTGAAGTTCAGTTCCCCACCCATAAAATGGGAATGCTAATGCTGACCTGGGAATATTTTTGTAAGGAGAAAATAAATAATAATAAATAATAAATGTAAATTGAAGGTATGCAGTGAATGATAGCATTACTATCATGGTCACTCTTTGAAGTTCTCTGAAACTATGTTTTATAGCCTGTCAGCCGGCTGACAGAATCTGGCTGCCTACAAAGGTCATTGAGCGAAATGCCCAATTCCCCTGCAGCCTCAGCATTCAAAATCATAATCAGAGACCAGGGGAACCCAACACACTCTTTTGAGAGGTTAGCATCTTTACTGATGTTAACTAAATGATGGCCCCATGATCCTGGACCTGCCATGTCTTCAGTCTTTGGAGACTCTCTGTTTCCATAGTGACATAAACATAGGACTTTTGCCAAGTGTGGCAAGGATTGGGGGATGTTTATTACACTGAAGGAAGAGCTTTTCAAAAACAAATTTCAAGAGATTCCTGGGTGGATCCCCTGGTTAAGTAAGTGTCTGCCTTTGGCTTGGGTCATGCTCCCAGGTTCCTGGGCTCAAGCCCCACATTGGGCCCCCTGCTCAGCAGGGGAGTCTGCTTCCTCCTCACCTTCTGCCTCTTAAAATCTTAAAACCCCCCACAAACTTCAAGGTGATAAACATGTATATACATGTATGTATGTATGTATGTATGCGCACACAGATGCTCACGGAGAGAGAGAGAGACAGATTGAGCATGCCTGATCCTACTGCACCACCAGCAGTTGCACAGCTGGGTTTCTGATGGGGCTTTCAGAATGAGCCACTACACACTTAGCTGGAGAAGCATAGTCCTCTTGGCCCTAAATACCTCCCCTCACACACTGGGTCTTCCCTAGCTGGCAGCATTCACTGCCCTCTCCTTGGCCCCAAGCTCAGGCTCTGAAGTAGAAACTTTTTGTCTTCTGAAATCAGAGAAGCCAAAGGCATCAACCCACCTCCAGTATTACACCACCGGAATTCCCCTCCCCACACCTCTCCCATCCCGTTCCTCATTTTGCCAGAGAATGTACCAGGGCCTAGGGGGAGAATGGGACATCGTACATCTCCCTGCCCCCGAGAGTGCCAGGGGCCGCTCCCGGACATGCTGGAGGCTGCTGGACTCGTGAACGTGCTTGAATGAGAATCATGAAGCCAGAAGGCAAACACCACAACTTTGGCCTGGATTCTCAAGTGTCACCTGCTTTTGGTCTTCCTCTGACAGGGAACAAAGCCGCAGAAGCCACATTCACTGTAGTCCTTGCCCTGTTCTGTGACTTTCTCTTTATTCTTAGAATATGATGTCTTCCGTGTTGAGTGTTCCCTTTTCTTGGCTTCTTGGTTTTGATGTTCTAACGATTGCCCAGGCACGTTTCACTTTTGTGGCAAATCATGGTGGCTGTATTTAAGGTATGCCCTGAATGAAGGATTTCACTAGTTACTTACTTGCAGGGGTGTCTCTGAAAGTTTAACAGAGAAACAATTGTTGCTTAGGTTAATTCTTCATTTGAATGTTCTGATTTTTTTTTAAGTTTATATTTTTTTGGTATTTTTTTATTGGAGCCGATTTGCCAACATATAGCATAACATCCAGTGCTCATCCCGTCAAGTGCCCCCCTCAGTGTCTGTCACCCAGTCACCCCATCCCCCCACCCTAAAGTTTATATTTTATGTGTAAATTCAAGTCAGAGTTCCAGTAACAATTTAAGCCAATTAAAAAAAATAATGAGGGACACCTGGGTGGCTTAGTGATTGAGCATCTGTCTTTGGCTCAGGGCATGATCCTGAAGTCCCAGGATTGGGTCCCATGTTGGGCTTCCTGCAGGGAGCCTGCTTCACCCTTTGCCTGTGTCTCTGACTCTCTCTCTCTCTGTGTCTCTCATGAATAAATAAATAAAATCTTTATAAAAAAGTAAAATAAAAAAATAAGGCATGTATTTATCTGCCCCTGCTATGAATGATTGCAGGCTGCCCAGGTGGTAGTCAGTGACGTGTGTCCACATGGGCTTATCTCCTACCTCATTCATTCATCTGGAGTATCTGCTATGTGGCAGATGTAGGGGGTTTAAGAACAACAGCCACCCTCAGGAAGCATGTGTGTGGTAGGGGAGACAAATGTGTAAATAGATCATTAATTTGGTGGAATCAATGAGCAACAGAAGCAACATTAGCTGGGTGGTAGCCCTACTCTGTACACTCAGCACAAGGCAGTGGGTCTCAAGCATTCTGGTCTCAGGATCCTTTTACAGCAAAAAATTATTGAGGATCCCAAAGGGCTTCTGTTTATGAGGGCTACATCTATTGATATTTCCTGGATTATAAATTAAAATGGAGAACTTAAATATATATGAATTAATTAGTTAATTTAAAAATGACAATAATAAACTCACAACATAACCCATAACATAAATAAAAATACATGTATAAAAATGCCATTTTCTAAGTTAAAAAAAATAGAAGAATGGCACAGTTCTACATCTTTACAGATTGATTTACTGTCTGGCTTATTCGAAGACAGCTGGATTCTTACCTTATCCATTCATAATGTTTTGGTTGGACTGCGTGAAGAGAATATGGCCTCACAGATACACAGTCTGAGAAAGGAGAAGCATTTTAATAGCCTTTTTATATAATTGTGAACATCCTCTTTTGACATGACACCAAAACTTGACAAATTATAGTTTCTTAAAGGTTATTTGCAATGTGGAGACTAAAGCCACATTAATACATTTTTCACGCTTTATGTACTCATGAGAAAATAAGAATATAAAAAGCAAACATTCATGCTATTATGGATATAGTTCTGACCTACGGGCCTTTGAAGGGATCTCAGGGACCCTTAGGGATCCCCAGACCACACTTTGAAAACAGCTGGTTTAGGGCAGCATTCCTAGTGAAGACAGAGATCCTCCCTGAGGGGCAGAAGGAGTGAGGCTAGAGCATGCAGGTGGGATCTGGCCAGGCACTGGGGACTGCCACATCTGTGAGGCTGGTGGTCTAAGCTGGAAACAGGCCTGAAGGAGGGAACCAAATCACTGAGGGCCAGGGCCTGTGGGGCCCTGACAAAGAGTTTGGGCTTCATTTGTCAGAGATGGGAACCCTGGAAGACTTTTAGCAGGCAACAGTAGTGATCAGTGCTGACCCTCAGTCCACTCACTCTGACATCTGGACTGCCTCAGCCTCTATGGGCTGTGGCAAAGGGGGGGGAGAGACTACATGTGTAGGTTACCAGCCCCTTCTCCAGCCCCAAGTCCCTCCCGGGCAACCATGCTAGCCAATGGAGTTGGGGCTGCAGGTGCACTGTGCCCAGAGGAGAAGCCCATGAAAGCCTCCAAATTCATATGCTTTGTAGTCATTCTTTATCAGTGGCACACATCCCCTCCCCAACACCCAAACTCCTCCTTAGGTTGCCTTAAAGGTCCATAACCAGGAGTCATGTGGCCTCCACACTTGATTACTGTCTGTTTTACTTGTGTGCAATTTTGCATTTTTTCTCTTTCCTATATTGCTGTTTGGGGGTGGACCTATTGCCAGGGCAACCAGTGGATTCCTATTAGCCTTTTGGAAACCTTAACCCCTTTGCCCCAACTTCTCCCGTACTCCTGACTCCCCTCACTCCTAGATGGAGAATGAACAAACTGTCTATGCTTCCCAGGGCTGGCTCTACCTGTTGTCTTTTAGGAGGTCTTGTTGACATCTGCCTTCTTTTCTAAATTTACCAATCTAGCTCATTTCGTTTCTCCTAATGAACCTCAAAACCTTTTCCTTTCTCTTCTGATCCACACAGAATTCATGTGTGTGTTTTAAAAGAGAATGTTTTAAGTGGGAGATAGAGATTTTCAAGGAGGCTGGCCCAATAGTATGGTCAAGGGGTGGTGGGAGCAGAACCCACACACACACCCCACCCCTGCCAGCACATACTCTGCTAGGAAAAATTCAAGAGGTGTTCAGGGGTAGAGGCTACAAAATTTAGTGAAATTTCTTCACCATGGTTCATTTACTACTTAAAAATAAAGCTAATGAAGACAATGTAAGAACTCACTGTATACAGCCCCAAGTTCTGTTCCTTGGAAATCACAGGACTTATGAGGGACTTATTTTTATTTCTGCATACATTTCTAAGTAAACCTGACATGAGAATGTTAGTAAAATTGCAGTGTGTTTCATGTAAGAACCTGAAACCTCCTAAATTAGCAATGTGACTGAAGGAACGGACC